GGCTTGTTTTACAACGTCGTTGCCAGGCGACGAAAACCCAACCCCGATGGCAAACACCGGGGGGGGGTGGAGCGAGGGGAGACGGCAAATACGTGGGCTTGTTGTTTTTGTTGATTGTTCTTGATGCCATGCATACACGTCTGCACAGTTCCTCCTCTGCCCTAGACCATTGCCGTATTCTCCAGCTGGAACAATAGAAGGTACACACCAGTGATGAGTTTTTGACCTGACGGCAACACTATGCGAATGCCGGCTTGGTTGTGATGTTCATCCTGACACAAAGCAACGTGTTGCAGTTGTTCGGAGCACTGCTGTTTACATTCGCCATCAGCATTGTACGTACCCCTCCTGGAGGAACATGTCGCATGCAATGCACGTAGAAAATACACCACACTCCTTTTCCCACACTGTCAGTTCGTCTACGCGAGAGTCGGCACGTGCCGTTCGCCGAAGTGCGCCAAGGCATATCGTTGATTGCCGCCTTTCCCTTCAGCGTCAACCTTGTCCTCGCCAGTTGCCATTCAGGAACTTAGGGCAGAGTGTTAGGAAAGTAAATGATTACACGGGCATTTCCTGATGACCAGGATCAACCGAAATGGTGATGAAACTGTTTTCGCCGCCCGACCTACGAACCCCGCTGGCAGTCTTAACACAGCATACGTGTGCCTCCACTTTCCACCACTCGGGCCTGCATACCTCATGCGTTTACAGAACATCAACGCCAGCAGCATCTGCAGCACCAGGTGCCGCGACAAGCCGCAAGGGCAAGACATCTAAAGCCGCCAAGGAGAACGCTGCACAGCCCCGCCTCACGGCCTTCTTTGGCAGCAAGCCAAAACAACAACAGCAGGGACAACATCCAACGGAGGTTGCTGCTCTCAGGAAAGGCAGCAACGGCAGCGGCGGAGGGGCAAAAAAGATGAGGAGCACGGGAATTACAACGGAATCCGAGCTGGGCCTGAAGCAGCAGCGGCAGCAAGAGGGAAACGACGTCCTGTCGCTAGCAGTAGAAGAGGAACAACCAAGCCTGCTGAAGAGAATACCGGTGCGAGACATTTGGCGACGTTTGTACCATTGTAGGGAAAACACCAAGATCTCGAGTTGACGTGTGGAGGGGCTTTCTTTGCCTCGTTTCACCATGTCGGTTTATCTACAGCATACGCAGCAATGCCCCTCCGGGTGGGATTCCTAGCATTTTTGTCGTGGTATCGAATGTCCGTTGCATTTCACGCCAAACCTGAAGAATCGTAGTTTTGCCAACTATTTTCTCTTGGCGCGTGGTATTTGCTACCTGTAATCTCTGACACAGATGTACTATCCTGAATATTTTGTTTGTGCTGCACCACTGGTGGATTAATAAGGACGCCCACGTCACGCGTTATTCTTGATCTTTCTTTCCGGTGATTCTTCGCGGTTGCAGACAAGTGCGTACGGGACTTGGGTGTCCGAAGTGATGTTGCAGCAGACGAGGGTGGAGACGGTGATCGACTACTACGTCAAGTGGATGACGCTATTCCCGACACCGAACGATCTTGCAGCGGCCAGCCTAGAACAGGTGACCGTGCTGTTGCGGTCACACCTGCGGACCTGCTTGATGTCGTGATTCACTTGAACTCAGCTTGAGCTGCAAGTGTCGCAGTACCAACCAAGTTTCATCTGAACAAACGGCGATTCGAAATCTTTGAAGTTCGTGACACCTTCTGCCGTGAACCGCAGGTAAATGAGGCGTGGGCAGGACTGGGGTACTATCGTCGAGCCAAGATGCTCCACGAGGGCGCGAAGAAGGTCGTGTCGGACCACAGCGGCTGTCTCCCGGGCATGGCAAAAGAACTGAAAGATCTACCTGGGATCGGGCCGTACACAGCAGGTGCTTAGGGCCTCGGGAACGTAACCCAAGCTTCATCGTAGTAGAACACGTTTCAGTGGTGGATCAAATCAAGCGACGAGCAGCTTGCCTAGGCTCTGCAGGCTGCCTGTGTTGAAGGTTGCGACCCTGAGGGTACACTCCCACCGTAATTGTGCAGTTCTTTTCGCGATCCCTTGTCCGATGGCCCCATTCAGCAGTCGAGGTTAGTATTTGGCTTGCAGGTGTTCTGCCTGAAACCCTCCGCCTGACGAAAAAGCCACCGATGACTCTGTAATCGCTGTTGGAGGTGACATGAATGCTGCCCAAGTTCGAACAGAGGCCTTGTGGAATCAATTGTCTTGAGTTGCCGAGAGTGCGTTTACATGGGCGACGCATTGTCTATGGTGTCACATTCGTTCTGGTTACCCCGCCGGTCGTATCACGTCTTGGCCTGTTCACGCCTTACCCTTTCATGACCGAGCCACATGCACGCTGAGACATCACCAACACTAGACATACGGGAGGATAACCTGACTCTTTGGGTAACCGCGCGTGCCTGCTGGCTGTCGGTTGCGTGCGCACCTCTGGCAGGAGCCGTGGCCTCCATCGCCTTCGGGGAGTGCGAACCGTTGGTGGACGGAAACGTGATCCGGGTGCTGGCGAGGCTGCGGGCAGTTGGCTCTGACCCCAAAAATGCAGGCCTCAACAAGCTTTGCTGGTGAGGTTGTCATGCTGAACAATGTTAGAGAGGCACTCCCGGGAACCAATGGTTGACGACGTGAACTGCATGGACACGGACTTTGATGTGTTCTTCGTGTAGCCGTTCTTCGTTCGGGTTCGGTGAAGTGAAATTCTCACCTATGAATCTGAAGGCGCCCAGGGGACGCAGAAGCAACGTCACCGCACCGGAAAGTTAGTTTGCGTGGTACATGAACCATCTGTCCGCACGTGCACCTGCCGCACAATCTGAGGTGTATTCCACGTTCGCATCTTGATTCTGTTCCATGGTGCTGCGACCGTACAACAATACCTTCCTTTTCCCCACGAAACCGTCAAATGCGCGCCGCAGGGATCTTGCCGGCAGTGTCGTCGACCCTGGAAGACCGGGCGATTTCAATCAGGTCTGTCCTTGATCACTAACTGCGTCATCAGCTTAGAACAGTGTGAACAACAGTTGGCACTGTTTGCGATGCTCGATTGCACCGCAAACTACAAACAGCGATTAGTTTCCACAAGGTGCATGAACACCCGGCCTGCAAACATTCAGCCTGTCGCTAAGAGCCAGAAGCTTCGATTGAGCCGACGCTGACTATAGGATGGTCGACATCAAAGAACAAGGACAATCGTGCAAGGTCGACTTCGCCAAAGTGGCCACTCTGTGCTGTAACTGATGCTGAGGTCCCCTTTGGATTGATTGCTTGGTGGTTTCGTCCCGTCAGTATCGCACTGTTCCGATGCTCAAACCGGCTTTCATTCCCCCCCCCCGCGCGCCTGGTACGGTGAGAACCCGGCGTGCTCCGTCCCGGCTTTGTAGGGATGCGAGGTCAATGGTCTAACGACTACGGCATGCACGACTATGAGTACACCCCCGCGCGCGCTGGGGCATGCCCCCTCGTTGTAGTCGAAGCCCTTTGGATACGCAGTAGGATCAGAGTGGTGTTCCTGTTTCTCGCCGGGAAGATTTCTCATTATTGCTGTCGAACGCACTGCAGTGGACACCCTTCGTATTGTTCTCATCTCATTCGTTGTTGGCATGCAATTTTCGCCGTACCTTATGCTGCCAGGCTTTGATGGAGCTAGGCGCGACCGTCTGCGCGGTCAAGAATCCCTCCTGCTCTGCCTGCCCTGTAAGGACGTCATGCCTCGCCGATAAGCTTACCTCCGCAGGATCCAAAGGACCCAAACACGCGGCATCTTTTACGAGGGGCACCGTTTTTGCGGTAGGCAGCAGCAGCAGCAGCAGCAGCAGCAGCAGCAGCAGCAGCAGCAGCAGCAGCAGCAGCAGCAGCAGCAGCAGTAGCAGGATGGCCGAGCCTCCCCCCTCATCCGTTGTCTCACGAGAGAACGGTGAGCTGGGCGCTTGCGGTTGCACTGTGTGCGAGGTTGGCGAGGATGGGATGGCGGTGGTACCAATGGCCGTGACGGACTTCCCGCGGAAGGCTGCCAAGACGTGAGCATTATCTCGGCCTCTTGCCGTGGTTGAACGTGTTTTTATGCATTGAGTCTGTCACGCTACCCCTGTCACACGGCATCGCGTGCCCACGTGTATGCCCACATGTATCTCTATGATGCTGCAGGCGCGTTCTTAAACCTTTTGAGTTCTCTGGCTGACTGGGCGTGAGCATTTCGTTCCAACGAGAAGTCGAAAATGTGACGGTGTGATCGTTGGTTGGGGTCCGCCGAATGTCTCTACTCTTGACCGCGTCTTTTTTCGCCTTGTCTTCATGCTGTCGCTTGCTCAGGCTGGTGAAAGATCAAGCGCTCTCGGTGTCTGTAGTTGAACGCGACGGACCAGCGGGCCCGCAGGTCCTACTCGTCAAACGTCCGGAAACGGTGAGACGTGCAACCACCTAACTTCCACAGCCGAGTTTCGAGCCGGGGACGAGGCCGTGCATAAAGTCGGTGCCCTTCCGTAGTGCCGTGAGCCCCCAGTACGGTTGGTTCAACCGCGACACACAGAAAAAAGTAGATCAAGGTAGTTTCATACCGTGGATAGTGCCAACGGATGCCGGCAGGCGTGCCGGGAAGTCGGCTGGCACATGCCGGCGCTATCGCGAGCCCATCACTGTTGTAACTCGTGTGGGCATACCGCTCACCACGGTGTCAACAGCACGACATGGTGACTCTATATGCGGCTTCATATGGATGTCTTACACGGGTGTCTATGTTGTGAACCGCCCTAGTGATCGATAGCGTAGTCGGTGCTTCCTTTCCTTTCGAGATTTACCGTGTTTCGATCACTCAGCGTGAACTACGTGTTTCGTGTTTGGCTTTGATGGTCTTTTGCACTCGAGCCACGAGTGTTTTTGGCTCACGATGTCGGCCCTTCGGCGACCCCCGTACCTTAACTTGTCTATCTCAGGGGTTGCTTGCCGGTCAGTGGGAGTGCCCCTGCGTTATGCTTAGGGATGGGTCGGAGCCAAGGAACTCTGATGCCGGAAATCGGGCAAGAGGGACTGTTGATCCTTCGCCCGATGTGCCGGAGAAGGAAAGGTTGCGATTGGTGGACGCCTTCCTGTTTTGTGATCTGGGCATCTCCGAGACCCTCGTTCGAAGTGAGTGTGTATTCCCGAAATGCGCCATCGAAGTACTGGTCGCTTCGTTTAATTTTGCGCTCAACGTCACGAACGAGCAGTTTGCTGCCCAAGTAGAGGATGTGAATATCAGGTAGCCTTTTCACAGTTCTGGGCGTGGGATTTTTCTAGAGGAAATAAATCATGTCATGTGCACGTGTGGTGCGGCCATGTTTTTGTCTCTTGTTTGATGCCGACACACCCTCGGCCTGCTTGCAAACATCGAACGGGTGGTATTGGCTGGGGAAAGTCCACCGTGTTCTTTGGGGGACCGAGGCAATGTTGAACCTTTCGATGTTGACGACAACGAAATCTTGTAGGTCCCCCCGCACTATTGCCTGACGCGTTTGGAGCAACGGTGGTCTCTCAGGTATGCTGATTGGCCAGGGAGGTACGTCTACGCACATCTGGATGTGAGCGTCGTTATGTTCTAGCTGTTGCGGCCTCTTCAATCTCAGAAATGCGTGTTTTTCCCGCAATTCGTCCCTCACCCCTTCTTTCCTCCTGTTGTCCTCTTAGGCAGAGCGAGCGTAGGCACCGCAACGCACGTGTTTTCTCACTTGAGGCACACCATGCAGGTATGAGCAAAATCGACCCAAGAAAAGTCCTACTTCAAACCTTGTGTGGTATGTAGCACAGCGAGTGCGGTAGTCGCACCTCGTTTCACCAAGTTGATCGCTAGGAAGATGGGGATAGCATTGATTTTCCGTGCCGGCGTCGAGGAAGCATGCTTTGTTTGTTTGCCCAGTTTAGGGTAGATGGTTAATTGCGCGGGCCGAATAAAGAACGCCTGTCGAGGTGCAAAACAAGTTTTTTTTATCTCTCTTGCGAAACACTGTCGACTCAATGACGAAATGTCCTTTCAGAAACCGCCCACACTAAGGTGGGCTAGTTATTTTTCTTTTCCAACGGCACACATTGTAGTTTCTACATTGGCCGCGTTGACAGGAGGCGGAAATCAAAATGTTGTGGGCACATGCATTTCTCGTTGTCCGTGTGACAACTCGAATGTAGGGACATTCACACGCCGTGCGTCCAGTACCGGCAGGTGTGGCTGAATCCCGCACATTTTATAGGAAGAAACAGGTTCCACCTTCCCACGAGTATGATGCACTGTGTTGTTTCGAAAGTGGTTGGTTCTTGCGTTGTTTCTCCCTGTGCTTGCGTTGCAACGGTGGGCCTTACTCGTGTTTGTCTCGTGTTTCCACGTTCAGGTGGAACGCATAGAGATCGCGAGTGAACCTGGCATGGATGACAAAGTTGGCACAACCAACTCTCGGGAGGTGGGACATCACGCTGATAGCTGTAGACAGTTAAAGCAGGAAAAATGTTGAACAGTTTGCTTGGCAGGGTTTTCGGCGTCTTTTGACATGTTGATGTCTATATGTGCCTCCCTCCCTGTTCAGTGTGATCCGGTAAAGGTTGCGGTTGCTTCGTTGATGGTTTGGACCATTTTTATTTTACAGTTTTCGGGGTAGACACCTTCAATCTCTCATCTCGACGCATAGAGTACAACCTGGGGTAGCGGCTGCTGTTGCGTGCGTTGGCGGGTGGCGACAACAAAACCAAACCATGCGAATACAACGCAACTGAGCCCTCGCATGTGTGCCACATTCTTTACGAATCACGTTTCAGAATCGCTGGGTGGATGTTTCCGACATGGGCGGGGTGGGCATCACCACCGGCATGAAGAAGGTGCTAGCTCTTGCTAGCAAAGCACGTGCCAGCAGCAGCAGAAGCAGCAGCGGTGCCAAGAAGGGGACGAAAAGGGACGCGAAGAGAAAAATCGACGAGGAACCCAACGAGAGAACCACGAAGCAAACCAAGGGTGCTATAAAATGATCCACGCAAGCTGTTGGTTCATGTCCCCGCCCCCGTCCGCTCCCTGCTGTTGCCGAGGTGCCCTAGTATTCCCAATATTTAGCACCATGGAATCACGAGAGGCAATGGTAGGAGCATTCGGCATTCGTAAGCTGGCGATGGAGGCGGCGAGGAAGGGGTGCGTTCGGCTGCTATATTTCGGCCTAGTTGCGGGAAGACGGGGGAAATGGCTGACGTATCACACGAGAGCAACGTATCGCTGGAGTATATCCCTTCAATGGTGTCCATCGACGTTGTCACCCAGGGCCTAGGTTCCAGTCGTTAGGTTGTCAATTCGAATCTTGGCGAGTTGTGTTCCCCGGGTTAGCCCTTGAAAAGGATTGAAGGAACTGATGTGCCACACCGAAACCTTCTCGGACAACCGAGAGCAAGCATGGTTGAGGACGTTTCTGTGTGACCGTCACCCAGATCGGAGCTCTTCTCTTATCGAGGCAAGGCCGTACAGTAAATGTTGAACGCTCGAGTGACGGTTACCTGAAGGGATGGCGAAAGCGTACACATCCAAGATTATGTGAGGACGATTTGTCTTGTATTGCGCCGACATCTTCTTCCCCCTTACGCAGACTGTACCGCTTAAGGCGATCAGGATACCTCTTGACCGCGTGGCGGCATGCTTGATCATATCTGTGCACCCAACTCAGAATGCCCTGAGTTTGGTGTGGTCGGACAAAGACAAGGAAACACATGAAAGTCATCTGCCCCCGCGCTGCTGGACTTCCCAAGGGTTCCTCTTCTTGTTGAGTCCGAGCTGTGTCCCGAAAAGGGAATCGCTCCCAAGCAAGCAATAAGCAGAAAGCCCCCCAGTTTCGGCAAGTTACCCCGAGGGGATGTTGAGAACACACTCCAAGAAAAGGGTCGTCTCAATGAGCCCCCCCCCCCCCCCCCTTTCGCCAAAATGTGTCCAGGTTCGACTAGAAAAAACTTCAAGCGGTCAGCCTTCCCAGAGGGAGGTTCACCCTCGACCTCGGCATTTTCATTCGTTGTCCACTGGTCATTGAAGTTCAGAACGACTTGTAGTATGATGCCATTGTCACGTGTTCTTACTATCGTCAGTTGACACTGCACTACTGTCACACGCCACACCCTCCACTAGCCTAGAGGAATTTCTGCTGCAACTGTCCCCGATTCTCCCGGATGATGATAACATGGTCTCGTGACACCTGAAACAATTTAATCGCAACAGCACGACCAAAGCTCACTACATTAGCAGCTCATCATCTGCTGAAAAGCTATCTCTGGACATGGCTTGCTGACCCCAGTCACACTTGATTTATTTCCTCTCTGACCTTGTTTGTGGCTCAGCTTCCCAGTGGAGGAATGGGCTGTACCGCCGTTCAGTTTGCAACCTCCTCCTTGCCCTTGCCTATTCTTCTGGGTGTTAACGTTTTGTCAGGGATGTTTCATTCTCGAAAAGTGGTGCGATTTCCTCTGGGGCTTGTATTTTTTCACTCGCTTTGTACCATATTGCAGATGTTGCCTGCGACCAGCTGTACTTGATCGAGATCAGGAAATGATTTTTTTACTACGAGTACAACAACGATTTCACAAAGACAACGACCACGAATGTAGGCAATGCCTTCAAGTTGAAACAGCTCCTTCTCTGAAGTTCGAGGCAATATAAAACCACCCCGAAAGCTTCAACCATCACCATGACTTCCACCAAGAAGTTGGGAGGAGGTTCAAACGACTCCTTGACGATGACCCCTGCCGCGGAAATTCGCTTTGCGGTTGTTCTCTGAAGTTAGACACGTACGCAGCAAAAGACACAGCATTGACCTGCTGCAAGGTCCACATCAGGTCATACCTTTCACCGATCGATGGATGTCGAGAAAAAACCGGTGCAAAGCCTGCTGAAGGCGCCGGTTTCATTCTGGTGATTACTAGCAGTGTGTTCGGGGTCCAGATATCACACCCGAAAACTACGATTATATTGCTGGGGTGGGTAGATCGTCAGAAGTCCCGTGGAAACATTCGGTCGATATCATGCATGCGGTTGAAATGAGGAGGAGGGCCTCTCTAGGCCATGTTCCGCACACTCATCGCAAGTCAAGCCACTCCCACAATGTCGGTTCTTCGTCTACAACCAGCGTAGAGGCACCTCACTGATTCAGGGGCCAATCCTGCGTTACCCACTACTTTTGATCTCATTGACTTTGGTTCGGCTTTAGAAACAACCAGCTGCCATGCCGGGCGAGTCGAGAACTCTAGACTATGGCAGAAGCCATTCATCTCTAGACTATGGCAGAATCCACTCATCTCTATGACAAAATCCATCTTCTACCACTAGAATATGCTCCTGGTCGACATGAGCACGGATTTTCATGTGAAACCAACAACAACAGCAGCAGACGCAACGACGAGACGAGCAAGTGGGTATTCCTTGAGCAACCACTATCCAAGGCCGAGGGAAAGGTGGTAGCCGCGCCGCGTTTCACCACGTCTCACTCTTGGATCTATGATGACGCTGAAAGATCGACCAAGAAAGTTTGAATCTGAGAGCTCTACGTTTGCCACGGTGGAAGAAACCGCCGCTGGAAGTTCACTCTCGCGGGCCGATTGTTGAGGCTGATCTTGGGGCGGGTGCACTCGAACCGGTTCTCGAGGTGGACGTCCCAGCATGAAATGGAAAACGTGACATAGATATCAAGCTTCGTTAACGTTTGGTCTGTCCCAACCTCCTAACCACTCGGAATCATAATCTGCAACCCAGTGCTTTTGTTTCCAAGTCGGGTCCTGTAGGACTTCTTGGCCATGTGGACCATTTCGATTACGATGTTCGGAGAGCCCTCGACAGTACCACTCTCGTGAACAACGACTGGCTGCCCACCTTCGGATCTGGACGGGCTTGCTGGAGAAGAACAGCGTACTACCTCGGCTCTTCCTCCGTTCTCTACTAAAGCTGGCAAGTCGTTGCTGACTCCCTGTTCACGGGTGTTGGCAGGGTTACGGACTTATTTAATCGAGTAAGACACACCAGAGCACCGCGACTGACGAGTTCGGAAGCACTTTTTCAGGAAATACTTGAAAAGAATAGTCTAGTCTAGACAGAATCACAGAAAAAACTCGCGTTCGAGAAAGTATTCCGTCAATGATTTATTTCATGAGCAGGCCCTTTTATTTGGTGGAGACCTCATCTACTGCAGTCCTGCCCACAAACGCAATTGTGCGTCAGCAGAATCCCAACTACGCCGTACCCTCCAACAGCAGATATGGATACATTTCGATCTAAAGGAAACGCAAACATTGAGAAAGAAAGGCAGACAGGCAACCGTACTAATGAGAGACGTGTAGAGGTTATACCTGTGTTGAGAACGACCGCCCATGTCGTTCCTGCCTCGCATAAGTGCTCGCGACACCACTTGAAGGAGGCCGTGGTGTTGCTGATGATTCATACCGTGCAAAAAAGGGGGGCACATCTGTCTTTGATTATTGTTGGGAAACATGCCAGAGGGTGCGTATTTATTGGAGGAGCGCATCGTTGTCTTTTGTACATGCCCAGGCAGGGTTCGGAAGGGAGGCTATTTGGTACAGAAGATAGACCTGTGCGCTGAGATTCCGCTTGGACTTCAGGCAATGGGTCGAAGAAACGAAGTAGCAGCAGTATGCCCTTCCTCTTTCTTGACAATCGAATACCATATTCGAGCCGATGCACCGTTCTCCGTTGGGTGGCAACACTCAGTGAAACGAGTGTACTGCTGCGTAACGAACGGAGAGGCCATCCACAAGCCAGGAAGGCGACGGCCAACCGCGATAAAGATGATGAGGGAAGAGATTTATTGTTCCTCTGGTCGACCACAAGCAACACGCACATTCCGGGCAAGGCGACGGCCCTACACTTCCATGTCGGCGATGTCAGACGGCAGTCACACCAGGATTGGCGAGGTTGTGCGGGGTTGGTGCTTTACGAAAACATCGAGAGAACCTGTGGAGGAGAGCAAGAGTTCGCTTGAAATGCTTGAAAGAGATCTTCGAATCAAGACAAAAGACCCCGTATCTGCACGTGAAGTCAGCCACGGTCCGTGGAGATCACTTTTCGCAAATTCAACGCTGACGAGGGGAGCACAGAAAAGTGGGTGAACCCTCAATATTTTTCAAGGGGTGAGCGGGAGTACGGGGGATGTCATTTGATGCATCTTGTTGACACGCTTGTCGGGGTACGGCGCAATACCATTCCGTGGAATCTCGACGAGAAGATTGACCGTACTGTTTGGACGGCCCTTGGACTTTGTTGTTCACTACTCTTGTGGGCACGCTGAAGCTACGAATGCATTGTTGGCGAAATGGGAAAGAAGGGTTCTGCTGTTGTTATACTTCAAGTAGTAGATGATAAATGACGATCGAGCTCAACAAACAAACTTTCACGTAGTACGCCAAATCTGCACCCCGTACATCGGGGAGCGGCAACAGTGGCATCACATATTGCACTCCAGACGGAACTCACTACCGACATGGCAGGCAAACGTTTCCGTACCTGGTTTCAGCAAGTTCTGATATCATTCTCATCGAGCAATCAATATTTACCCTCGTAGGGATTCCACACGCCTTTGGTTTAGCGCCGAGCACACGCAGACTCCCAATTTTGCCGCTGTTCGTCATCGAAGACCGCAACCCTGCCGCCAAGGTTAGAACCAAGGTCAAACTCTCTAGAAAACCAAATACTCCATCCCTACTTGACTTCATATACGGAGCAGGCAACACGATATTCCGCCCACCTCTTGTACTTTCGTTCAATCTGTAACAGAGCGATGACTGCTTGTCAGGCTTCCTGCGATCTTCATGATACCCCAAAAGTACCAAATCCAGTTCCTCCTAGGGTGGTGGCATGGTGCACATCAGACTGTGATTCTTTACAGTGGTTTCGCCCTAATCTGTGCAAAGCTCCTCCTCTCATTTATTTCAAGTGGTTATTCGCTCCGACCCCTTCAACAGGTACATCAGCATACGCTCCATGGCATACGAAACGGAACATGCAGCCAAGTCTAGACTATGTGTGTTGTCTGGTTCGTACTTCTCATAACCTAACTTGATTTATATGAGGTCTGGAGGGTGTCCCACGGATGCACTGCCGCGCCGCCAAGTTTCAGCGGGCGCGGCAATGTGGTTCGTCAATGATGAAGCGGGTCCAGCCGCAAAATGCCTCTCTGGTGGGCGGGATGGCTGGAACTCTTGCTTCCTACCCCTTTTCGCGGAGGGTTTCGCGAAAGGGGAAAAAACGTACGATTGTGACCACGGAACGCGTCCGTTCACGTCAGCTGGACCAGATACGGTACTTCGTATGAAGTTCTGAGGGAAGACCGGAATGGTTTTTTTATGTGAAAACAGCAACAACGATTAGCTGGGCACGCAACGTGTCAAGTCACGTTGAGGGCGAATGTGTCTACCTCCGAATCTGTGTCGAAGTTTGGACTCGTTGGTCGATCCTGATTAATGGAAACTCGCTTCAAGGGACAACAAGCGGGTAGACAATTTGTATAGAAACTCCTCATTTCTCACATTTCAGGTCAGGAAATACTAATCCT